GGTCCAAAAATGAGCCACCCGGACAAATTATAAACTGAGTTCTGATGCTAGATGCGTTTTTAGAATCTGAATGCCTCTTATTTGAAGATTGCAAAGTGTTCGATATTGATAAACTTAGCTTACACTAGATGATGCTGTGGCTTTCTGAAATTGTATCGCCCAGCCGAAACCCGCTCAGGAGAGCAATAAATCACGCCACCAAGGATGAGGTACGTTATAAACAATATCACGAGCACTTAAATGACATGTAGTCGCACAGCTTGCCGCGCCAAAAACTGAACATGTCGCACGCATTCTCTCAGCTACACACGACGGTGAGCTCGGCGTCGCCGAGATATTTCGATCCTTGGACGGTCGTATGATGGACTCATCGTGGACAACAGTATTCAAGTCACTCATTGTCATTCATACAATGATAAGAGAGGGACGGCAAAACACAACACTGAAGCATCTTGCCAGCAACTCGCATCAGTTATTGGCTATCAATGACAAAGGTACCCTCGAAAGCTGAAAAAGGAGAAATAAGGCAGCTTTTTGCCGTTCTCGCAAGAGCAATTATCATAAAACAGTACTAACGTTAAGAAAAGTAAAGAGAAAAGATCAGAATCTGAAATCATACGCTGAGTATCTCACGCAGCGCGCTAAATCATATTCAATATCCAAAATTGATCCTATAAGAGCAGGCTCAGGACATCTAGCGGCATTTGGCATTGGGAATGAGATGCTTCAGGAAATTGTGAGCATACAGGATATGATATCTACACTTTTAGCATGTGGAGTATGATTGCCATCCTTCACAGCGGACAGAATTGACACTAGGGCGTAGGTTTTGCTATCAGAACCGCAGGACGATATTTCCCTCGCGGCGTTCAGACTTCTAATTAAGGACCTCATAGTCATGTATCTTCTTATAAATGAAGGCATGATTATTATACTACGTAAGTAACACTTGTACTTTATACTATTTATATTGAGCACTTTAGGTCATTTTTCCGAGCTTTCAAGACCTGATGCCAAGAGGGCAGTACACATATATCAAGTAAGCGTAGACCTTGCGAACGAAGTTGTGGGTTACTTCTCTGTAGCGGCGAGGTATAAAAATGTATCATTGGGGATGCCAAA